ATTTCAAGCACGTTAATGCTATTTCTGTTTTTGTGTGGGTGCTTTTTTAACCCTACGTGTCTTCCCCACCCTGAGTGTTTATGAAGGTATTAGCACTGGAACCATAGTAAAGCTAAGACACCTTACTATGTTCCCATGGTATTCCCATTGTAGGACACTCTAATCAATAATGTGATGCAGACAGTCCAAACCTTATAGAAGGTTGGATCCTGATTCTTTAGAAATCATCACTGAAATCCACACATTGCTTTTAGTGTCTGGTTCACATCCTGGATATGGCCCAAACCAGAGTTCTTTCAAAGAAAAATGTTTGACTCTCTGCTCTCAGATTTGAATTGTATGACTGGAGGGGCAGGGTGCCCAGCTGTGGCAAGAGAGATAGAAAGGAATCTAGCCTGGGCAGAACTCCACATTCCAGCCTTGTTCACTATTTGCATTCCAGGCATAGACAGTTAGCAGGCACACTACCTTACCTGGGACCATGAGAGTGGTCCCTACATTCTGAATTCTTTCAGGAACTGTGTCACAAGTGGAGGTTACTCCACTTGAACCACCTAGCCTCCAGATTCAACAGCAAACGAGGCAGATTTGTCACCAGATGCAGAGATCCTCTGTTGGAAGCAGTGGATGCCCTGGTGACTCAATGGGGTCAGTACAGCCTGACCTATACCTTTGTTACACTGAAAAGCCTTTCTCCTGAACTCCAATGAGGCCAATACCATACCAAATTCAGGTACCAATGCTATCCATTTTTAAAAACATATTCATTTAGTTTTCTTTAACCCCTTTATGACTGAGCTTGTTTTTAGTTTCTGTTCGGAAAATGACTGACACACTTTTGACATTTTTGCTGTGTGATTCTTCCACGTCAGTAATATACTTTCTTACAAAGTGCACCCACACATATTATATATTGTTTTTTAGAGGACAGATAGGGCTACATATTTATATCACATATGTGTGTCTACCTGCAGCAGACTAATTACCATATTCTCCCAGGATGTTTATCTCTTAGGCACTGTCAATTAATTGGAGCTCATTGATTAGCCTTTGGCAGGGCATGGCAGTTTTGGAAACAATGTTGTAAAGATACATTTCTTATTTTGGAGTTCCTGTCAAAATGTAAATGTCCTAATATAAATATGCAGACTAAATTTTAACATTTACATTAGCCTAATGATAGAGCCCACGGAAAATGTTAATGTTCCATTCTCCTGAGAAAACTTGATCTGAAAACCACTAATGAGATCAAATAAGATCTTTGCCTTAGGACCATTATTCTCTCGGTTTTGGTTTGAAAGAAATGCTGGTATAATTCTGAAAGGATACATGGAGGACACTGGGCCTCATTTATTACGGTGCCCCACATCAGTACTATGTTGTCTATAGCACCCAACTAGAATCTCCCTCTTAGTTCAAACCTGTACTTGGAAAGTTACAGTGCTTGCTTGCTATGGGTAGTAGAGAAAGACGATGCTGATAAATGAAGCCAATGATTTGTAGCCAACCATTTCTAATTCAGAAATATAGTGCAGAGAGAATAGAACAAAGGGCAGTGGTCCTCATTTATAATCGTGTCTGCATAAGATCTATTTATGGCCCCATAGTCACCAGTTGCATTCTCCTTCTCAATTGCAAACCTGCAGTAGAAAAATTAGTGGGAAAAAAAGTGGAAATAGACTGGTGGTTATGGGCAGCACAGACTGTTCTTTCTGATGTTGATAAATGAGGCTTAGATATAGGATGCAGAGAGAAGAGACCAGAACAAAATGTATCTTACAGATTCAGGACACCCCTAGTAGGAAGCCATCCATTTTCAACAAATAAAAGTACCTCATACAGTATTTGATTTGGATCATTTTATTTAAATGGTGCATATCATATTTACTGACTGTAAACAGCAGAAGCTCCATCCAATGACAATAATATCTTAGAACAATTGATGATACTAATCTCCTAAGTATTAACCATTTTTTTTCTATAACCTGAACATTTTGATATACAGGGTTTTTCATAAAAGGGTGAAGAGGTTGGAGCAGACAGGAGAAGTGAACAATCTAGGCCAAATAACTGATTTGGAAAAAATCGCCAATTCAGGTCACTTTCCAGTTCAGCTATGTTTTCCTAGATCTAGATGGTTCACTTCTCCTGCCTTCTCCAAACTCTTCACCCTTTTGTGAATACCCCTGAAAAAATGTTTGCAACACATGATAATTGTTTCATATGCTTCTTAGTATAACATGCATACAATCTCTAAAAACCCAACACCATCATGTACAGAAATTCACATTTAGCAGAGGGCAAGACAAGACATATTCCACATGATAATTAAAAAAAATATTACAATAATCCATTTGTTTTCTAATCCATTTTAGGAGGAGTCGCCCTTTAACATGACAGACAACAATCTTCGGAAAAATATCTTACAGCAAACAAACAAAAAACAATTCAACAATCTTACTACCCTCAAGCAGTCAATGTTACTGAATTGTTCATTCTACTATTTTATTAAATACTGTAAAACCCTAACAGTCTGTAATAAAAAATATATTGTTTTCCTATATTGTTAGGAAAGCAGGTAGAAATACAAAACCATTTAACAGAAAAAATGCTGCAGTATTATTTGTAAAATGCTGCGTTCATAAAAAGGAACACAGAAAAGTCAAACTCCAGCTAAGTGGGAAGATTATGATGTTTGTTCACTTTAGGTCCCAGTGACTACTGGAAATCTCTCCAATGGGGACAAAGACAGCAGGTTTTTTTTTTCAAGTAGTCCGAGCAAGGGTTATAAAACATTTTTTTTTTTTTACTGTCTGTGTCTCTGCATTTGTGATATTCTCCTTCCTGTCCTGGAAGCACTGATCAATGGAAATGAGGATAAAATGTTGCCAACAGAGAAACAACCAGAAATAAGAACTTGACAGATATTTGAACCCTTCCCCATTCTATTCAAAACAATAAAATAGGCTTTTACACAGCTACTGGTTCTGGAAGTTCCATATAGATGCTGCATCATGGGAGAAAGGGAGGAAATCCAGTGCCCCCACAATGGACAAATAAAGCAACAGGCAACTAAAGAGAAGTTAAGTCTAAGCAGTGGAGTTGGCTTTTAAATAAACCTGTTACATGTTGCTGCATTGACAAATCACAGGTTCACTTTAAAGTAATCATGTTCTTTGCCTATGCAAGGAAAAGCAACAGTTTTACTTACCTTACTCCCTTTCCGAGAACACAAACCTTCTCTTTTCTCCCCCACCCGGGGGCGTCCCAAGGCTGGGTGTCACCCGGAGCGGAGACCTGGTGACACTCCGTCGTGATGTCATCGCGCATGCGCGGCCATCTAATTGATGCCTGCCGGAGGACATCTTGATGGTGGATGCCGGCAGAGAGAGGAGGGGACGTTCACCCCTCCAATGGACACCCCTAGTAGGAAGCCATGAGGACACAGACAGCAGTAAAAACCTCACAGTGACCTGGAAGAAGAGGTGGGCACCCCTCGTCTGCATGTCTAACAAGAGCTAACTTCCTGTAATCAATGGCGTCACAAGGGGGGTGCGGCCCGCACCCGGGTGACACCATTGGAGGGGTGACACCAAAATGACTTCTGAAAAGTCGAGCGTTCGGTCCATGACAGTATCAGGAGAGAGGAGGGGACCCAGCGGCATACCTTATCCCGCCGGGTGACTGTCCCCTACTCTCTCTGCCAGCGTCCATCACCAAGAATACTGCCGCGCGTGGTGACGTCACTGCGCATGCGCAGTGACGTCTCGGCGGGGAGACACTCGGTTACCGCTCTGGGTGTCACCCAGCCTCGGGACGCCCCTGTCTGTAATGTACGTACATACTGCAAACCAGATCCAAAAAGGCAGGCACTCCTCGTCAGCACGAGCGTGGTAGCATTATAACTCAGAGACTGCCTGCATAGGTTCACTTTAAGGGCCTGTTTACAACAGCAAGCCACACTGAAGGCATGGCTGCACGTGAGCGCTAACATGTGCCAATATCGGTGCATCACACTATTTACTTTTTTTATTAGAACTTTATTGAAATGCCATGAGTGACATTTCATTAAGCTTAACCAGCACAGCGGTTTTGCAGTGCTGCACCAAGCTGCGCTAAAAAAATAATAATTACTGCATGCAGTACTTTTTTCAGCGCACTCCAGTGAACCAAGCCAATTTAAAGCAAGGCAGATTGCCTTGTCTGTGTGTTGGACCTGCAAAGGAGAAAGGTGGCCAGCACATCTGGTGTGAACATGCCCTAAGGGGCATTTACAACATACAACATGCCAGCTATTGTTCACGATGCAAATGATTGGAAACAACATCTGAGTACCATGAAGTCATATTAGTTACATACAAAATAGAATATTGTTTGCTAAATTATGAGCATTTTGTAAAATTCTTTTAAGAAACTGGCCCATGAATGGCAAGTCTTACTGTGTTCCAGGCTTGTTTTGTAAATATTAAAGCTGACTACATATAGTGATGGTCTATCTGAAGAATCCATTTAGTTTATACATATTGAGGTAGTCCCTTGCACATAGTTGTTCGTACAACGAATATGTACCTGCCAAGGTTTTCACATATGTGGCCGTTCAATGTCTTTTGATTGATCCCCATGTTTCCAGTTTCTTATGCTGTTATAAGTAACCAAGATAAATCAGAGCACACAGCAATAAACATCTATTCAATAGCACATTTGTACACGGATGAATACAGCCCTAAAGAGGAAAACTCATTTAATACCTGAACATAACTTATTACCTTCCTAGCCAGATGGGTTTTCACAATAATTCCCCAATAAAACACCACATAATAAAAAGAAACATATAAAGCATTAAAATACATAACATGATACCATGTTGAATATTTGACATTTCACTATCGTAATGTTTGATTTGTATCTAATACTGCTGTAATTAAACCTGAAGTTCATAATATACAGTACTTCCCCCTCTAGTGTGCTGAAAATATTTGGCAGCAGAAGACGAGCAGCTGTAATCTGCCATACAATCTGTAGCCTGTTGAGATAAATATTGGTAGCACATGCCTGTGGATGTTTCAGTATTCCTCCAGGGGTGAGTAACATTAGGCTTTCATGAGCCTTGATGATGCAGTGAAAAGCTCTTCTTCAAAGTACAGGATCTGGTCCACCACAAAACAGTCACTCGCCCTGGAAACAAGAGTCTCCAGATGCTGCTTCACTTCTTTCTCACTGACGTTATTTTTTCGGGCATATGTGAGATAATTATAAACCTTTTCAAATGTTCTCTCTCCCAAAACCTGGACAGCTGACCTAGAAAAGACATGAGCGACAAAGAATACCTTAAATAAAACGTATATTTCCAGCTGTAAATGAAAAAATAAAAAAACACTGCATACAAAGGCTTAAAAGAATTTTAGATCCTTTGACTGTATTAATTGTGCTCATATGGAGTTTGCATGTTCTCATTATGGCTGTATGGGTTTCTTCCCACACTCCAAACACAAGCTGGTAGGTTCATTGGCTTTTTTCTTGGTGCATTTGTGAGAGTGTATGTGAGATAGGGACCTCATACTGTAAGCTACTTGAAGGCAGGGACTGATGTGAATGTGCAGTATTTAAATTGCTATGTGAAATTGTCAGCGCTATAACAAATACCTGTATTTAATCAATAATAAAAATAAATATCAGTTTATCATAGAGAAGGAAAGTCTTTGAAAAATTTGAAGGGGCACTAAAAAGTTGTAAATCCTATAAGATGTGCAAACACTTTAGAAGTCACTAATATGCGGCTGAAGGTGGTTAATAGGCAGGGGCGTCCCAAGACCGGGTGTCATCGCGCATGCGCGGCCATCTGATTGAGGCCTCCGGTTGGCCATCTTGCTGATGGACGCCGGCAGAGAGAGGAGGGGACGTTCACTCGGCGGGATAAGGTATGCTGCCGGGTCCCCTCCTCCTCTCTCCTGACACTGTCGGGCTCTCGGTCCATCACCCCTCAAATGGTGTCACCCAGGTGCGGACCGCACCCCCCTTGTGACACCACTGTTAATAGGCATTTTAAAAACTGCTAAGACTCAGAATTGGGGTCAATATGATGATGTCTCCATGGTGCACTCTTGACTAAATGTCAATGGGAAGCCCTCAGTTACACATACCACTTTTGTGGGCACTGGTGGCCCAGAGGCAAATGCCCATCAGAAGTGAGCTTGTGTTAAAAAAAAATGCAAGGCCTATTTTTGCCACCTTCCTCTTTTCTGAAGCACCCACCTAATGCTCAAACTCAGACTGGGTTGCCGGGGCCTGACATCTTGCTATGGAAGCAGAAAATGTGCTCACCTGTAGCCATCTTATTTAGGGGATGCCAGTATGCCTGGTAAGTCAGGATTATATCCCATTTTAAGGCTTTACAATAAACAAATGCACACATGGCAAATAATATTTTTAGTGTTTGCAGTCTAGCTGAATAAATCACTTTCCTTGCTCTGTGCATTGATGGGCAGGAAGGGCTTACAGCATGGACTGGGATCAGGGTAGACCTCAGTATTGTAGTGGTGCTTGGTGCAATACAGGAGGTCAGGCGCTGGCATAGTTTCTAAGATGGCCATACACCTATAGATTTTCTATAGATTTTTTTCTAACAGCCTATGGTCAGATGGAAAAAGTGCAACAGATTCCTCCATCTACGCTAAACTGTGTGGATGGAGGAATCTCCCACTGGGCCAAGTTTCAGTATCTTTCTAGTCGGCCCTGTTGGCTGTCAAAATACCTGAACAATCTGATTGCAAGCAGGCATTGTTCAGGTATTTTGACAGCCAGCGGGGCCAACTAGCAAGATACTGTAGCTTGGCCCAGTGGGAGATTCCTCCATCCACACAGTTTAGCGTAGATGGAGGAATCTGTTGCACTTTTTCCATCTGACCACAGAAAATCTGCAGATAATCTATAGGTGTATTGCCAGCTTTAGTTTTCTTGCCATTGAGATAATCTGCTTAGCACAATGTACTACCCTTTTGCAGAGATGAGTGTCCTGATGTACATGGAAGAAGGCGAGGAAAACCTATGACCTCTGAGTTAAGCAGCTAGAACAGATCAGGACAGAAGTCACAGAGCTTCCAGGGTTCTAATGCTGCACCTACACATCTCCTGGGACATATATTAACATGTAGCCTTTGGGAAGACACTTGCATGCATTAAAGTAATTTCCTAAGAAATGTTGAAATAAATAAATGTATAAATGGCGCTGCTTAAATTGCCATCGTGGCTAATTAGATGATAGCACATTTTCTGTTTCACCTGGGAGTGTCAGAAAAAATGCACACATGCCCAATATAGTCAACAATGCATTGCGATGTGAATGTCATTAAAATATATAAATCTTTGAAATTGTTTACTAGATGTTAGAAGCTGCTGCAAGTGCCAGCTGAATTCACATTTATCAGGGCTGAGCTGGAAAAACTCTTAGAAATCTTGTTCTGCCCTAAGCATACCTTAGGCAAATTATGTTCCTTTCCAACCAGTCACTACAGTCACTACACCAGCCAAGAAAACTTGGCAGCTGTGATTTATTTGATGAGCTACAGGAAAAAGTAAATTCAGTTTGCTAAACCTATATACTTAGAATCATTTTATCATACAGGTAATTCTCAAAGGATGCCGAAAGGCCAACTCTAATTTTATAAATCAAAAAGAACTTCAAAACTATGAAAAGAACGAGAGTTCTAGCACATTAGACCTATAATTATCTCTTTAATTATCTATTTAGGTTTTTAGAGGCTTAAAGTAAACTCACTGTAGTTTAATTACTATAATGAAGTGAACATTTCACATTGCAGTCATTGGTTTATAACATTTTGAATAACGAATAGCAGAGCATCATCATCTAATCACAAGAGCAAAGAAATAATAGAGTAATTGGGGTAGACTTATGCCACCTAATATTCAATAACAATGTAGATAATGTTTTTGGTACATTTCCTAGCAAAGCACAAGAACTCCCGTTAAATGTGTTTAGTTCTCGACAGAATGGGGAAGGTTTTGAAGCTTCTTTATGTGTTTATTGCTGCCTATGGCCCTTCTGTCCTGATGATACTGCTGGAAGTAAGGGAATATCACTAACATAGGCAGCAGAAGAAAAGTTTTTAACCCTTTCCTACTGTACTAGTAAGAGTCATTAAATTGTTGCCTCTATCCCTTTTTTTCTTTCCATCCATCTTTTCCGTTCACCCAACACCTACTTTCTGCTGTCACAACAGAAAATTAGGTAAAATTTGCCCAAAGGTTATGCAGACGCTGATCTGTCATTGCAACTGGGTGGAGCCCAGCTGCCAGTTGCAAGGCTTTGGCCAATGGCCGGCCGATAGGCCCGCTTTAGGTTGCACTTCGACTCAGTCCAGCCGAAGCATATACAAAAAGGACCTGGGCTCTACCAAATCTCAGGAAGACTGGAATTCAATATGGAGGTCTATCTCTAAATGCTCACATAATATCCTATCTCGGCCAGCTTCGGGAGCTATACGGCTATGGTGAATAGCCCTTACAGCAGCCCTTTGGTTTGACTGAACAGAAGGGCGCCGGCAGCCGAAGGATCAGCCGGATCAGCTACAGCTTTGTGAATAACCCTCTAAATCTTTCTAATGGAGCCCTAAATATTGGTAAGAACATAGGGCTTCTAATCGTTCCACACTCAAAAACTGGCATAAAACTTTTGGATGAACATACACTTTGAAACAAAAGGTTTCCAAAATTACAAGAACATTAAAATATACAACACATTTAAAATATTATTTTTTAAATAACTGATATTTCAAAAATAAATATTTTTTAAAAATACACCATCGTTTTCCCTTTGAGTTCAAAATTACACTTGTGATGTTTTTACAGAAAAAAAAGAACAGTTGCTAAAATATTTTTTCCTTTAAAGTCACTTTCAAAGCTAGTAATTAAGTTATGACCTCAAAGGAAAATGTTTAATATGCACACAGAAATTACAATTCTGACAGTTAATCAGTGCCAAGAGACACACAGTCTTATAGGCAGCCAACATTGAAGCAGGTGTTATGGGTATGAACATCTGCCATTTTGGTGGTAGCTATCAAGGGATATTTAGGCTGGAAGGACCTTGTTGAAATTAACCGAATAGGCTATTCCAGAGCTCAAAAAGCTGTAGAACTATTTATAAATGTTCCCTCTTTTATGTAATCTGTGTTGTGGTTTGTTTATAGTGTGGTTTAACCATTTGTATTAGTGTCATTTACAGTTTACATAATTTGTATTCCATTACAAATGTGTTAAAACGTCTAAATGTACAAGACCTCGAAAACAAGGTCTAGTTTATATGGCCCAATGCAAAGGCAAGTCTTTATTTAGTAATTACTGCTACAATAAGCGGCAATGTATAATTTCCATACTAAACAGCAGGGGATCTGTGCATGGATCCCCTGCTGATTGGAACTGGAAGGCGCCCATGTGAAAGGGGCCTTAGGCACTGTTCTTACATATACAATAACAGAAATCATGTTGTGTTTTCATTAGACAATGGAATACAACCAAACAGATTTGAATCTTATTATACTGTATATGTTATTTTTTTCTTGCATATTCTTCAATATTTATTGTGCAATTAATTGAGACAAAATCTATTAAAGCCCCTCTCCAGTCAGAAGTTTTTTCTAGGCTTGGACTGAAAACACTGGACTAGGGAAAGCTCAGAAACTTTTTAATTTTTTTTGTCTTCTTTATATATTTTTGCTTTATGTCAATACCCAAGGAAATAACCTTGGATTCTTCTTTTTTTAAAGATGCTTTTTATTGGATTATGATCATACTTTCTGGTCATTGTTTTTTTTTTTACATGTGGCCTTCATGGTTAAATACAGAGAAGAAACAACAGCGAGACAGCAAGAAATGCACATATCTTAAAAAATCAGATAAATAATACCACCTCATGAACCTACTATCTGGGGATGATATTGTAAATAGTGAATAAGACCATGGACCCCGCATGTTATTCAATCTCTGCTGGGAGCCCCTTTTGGAATATGTAAGTTAATAGAGAAGGAGAGCTGAGTTGATCAGGTTTTCCCAAAGTTGAGGCGTATATATCAGATCCAAGCTAATTGGACTTTAAAGGTGTCCCATATATCATACAACAAACATCATATGAAATCACGTGAATTTTATTTAAACGTAATTCGCTTAAAACACATACCAGAAATCATTAAAATATAATAAATTAAATCCCTCAATCCAAAACAAAGTCTATCACAGTGCCTTGCGCAGTGTTTCTTATTATCCTGCCATAATGAAGAATAGGG